CGACACTTCTTGCTGCTTGAGCTCCATCCCCACAGCTTCAATGGCACTACTGTTGACGTCCACGTTCAGCACGACAGCCCCCCCTTCAACTCTGTCGTCGTGACGCGAGGATGGCTGCTTGGACGATCGGCGCCAATAACTGGGAGACACGGGGAAGTACCATGCCTCAGTCACGCCATAGTCTTTCGGCACAACGCGTTCAAGGTACAGACCCAGCACAGTGTACACTACCGAGTCGACCAAGAGAAGGACCAACGCCGTCGAGAACTTGTAGCTCTTGATGGATTCATTCACGTTGTCGAAGGTAATACCCACGCCGTTGGTTTCGGATGCGGCCAAGTTGTTAACCCCAAACACTAGTGCCACGGGGGATAAGAGCGACGCCAAGACCTTGGACGCGGCGGTCGATTCGTTGGTGAATGCCGTGGACACGACGTACATGAGCAAGAACCCAATAACGCCCAGATACGCCCCCACTTTGGCCTTGGAGAAGATCGCACTGACCATGTACGCATACGCGAGCAAGCTGCACGAGAAGAGCCAAAAGAACAAGAACAAGAGCACCACGCTCGAGTGATTGAAAAGGACAGCGCTGGCCACCCCCGCCTGCACCAACGACGCCACAAACAGCATGACGCCGTACGTGATGTACCAGCTGCCGACGATGGCCACGTCCGGCACGCCCAGAATCTTAAGCAGTTCGCGGGTCTTGGTCTCTTTTTCCGAGATGAGCGCAACTAGAATCGCAGACAAGCATTGGATGTACGACAGCACAAACACAATGCCAAAGATGAAGTCCACGGTCTCGAAGAAGGGGGAGACGGTGAACCCCACCACGGGGAACGGAAACACGAGGCCCCCGCCCGTGGCTTGGGGGGAGCAGCCGAAGGGGCTTGATCAAGGGTTCATATGCTGACTTTGAGATGTTGGATGTGAACGTGCGCGGGGAATAGTACGTTTTCCCGCTCGACGCAGCTGAAAACGTATAGGCCAAACGGGTGTCGTTGAACACTTGCTGCAGCAGCATCGCATCCACTTGGGGGGTGGCGGCTGCGACGGCGTTCGGCATCGTGCAAGTGCCTGTGGTTTTGCCATCCTTCCAGTCGGGCACACACGTGGCAAAGCGTGTGACGAGGGTCTGGAGGGTGTAGAACCCCTCACGGGCGTATGCTCTGTAGGCGTCGGGATCGAGGCCACGCTGGAGCAAGTCCACTACATCCCCAGACGTACGAGGCACGACATTGTATCCAAAGCTGCCCGTGGTCGTGTTGAAGCGAAGCGAGTACTCAATGTTCCCAGGAGTACCCAGCGTTGATGGCATCGCCGTGAACACGATCGCCGCTGCCAAACGAGGCGAGTCGAACGTCACGCCATATCGGCCCCCTACAAATCAAATGTAAATGTTAAGAGATGGGGCATGCCAACAAAGTACCTGTAATAGAATCCTCCAACGCTTGTTCATTGGGGAAAAACACTACCGAATCGGCAAACGACGGTACGGCGATGTTCGATGTCAATTCCACACGGGGGTACCATTGGCCCACAGCCTCTGCAAAGTACTGCCTCGTGAACGTGTTGTCTGGCACGATGGCGATCTTCTTGGGCAGCCCCAACGACTGGCATCGAGGTGGCCACGCATACGGAGACGTGCGGTTGGTGCTGACGTAACCAGCCAACAACGCATTCCGACAGGTTGTGTACACGATCGGGTCCCTTCCGTAGCCAATTCTGTTCGACCCGAGCTCCAGAAGGAGCCCAGTCATGGTCGCCTCGGTTTGAACGTATTTCGTGTTGGGGATGGAGCCGTGATACAAAGGGTCCGACGGGCCGTACCAGGTTGCCCACCCCGTGCCTCGATTTGTGTCGGCCATTTGGGATTTCAAGTACCCCATCAGGGCTAGGAGGGCAATGGGCAGCACCACCTCGAACAGTGTCTTGATGGGGTGTTTTCGCTTCAACCGGACATTCTTCCAAAGAAGCGTGCGCGTGTAGCCATGGGGCGCGGGGCCAGGGGCTGCTGCTGCTGCTCCTGTTGAGGATACCATCAAGTTGAAATGTGAGTTTGGGTTGGTCGTGTCCAAACTTTGGAATGTGAGTGCGACACTGGTATCGTTCGCTGTTTCAAACGCCTACTCAGCATCCATCAGCTGCTTCGACATCGGTCAATCTTTGAAATGTCTCCGCAACACATCGGGCGCAGTTCCGTGACAACTTGGTGTCTATGTCACGCGATCCATGATTAGTATCACGCCGAATTTTTCAACCAATCACCTGCAACGGTTTTTGAGTTTGAGAGGTAACAGGCCCTGGCGGGGAAATAATTTCAAAATATTCGGATGCACAAGCAACCTTGTGGTCGGTAAAGGAAATCAGTTTTGTCCCTGCCCCATCAGTATGAATCCAACTCGTACCGCCGTTGTTGCAACTGCATGCACCATTTCCGCTGTGTGCATCGGGCTAGCCACCGTCCTCCATAGACTTCCGTGCGACAAGTTTAATATACTCACCGGTACAAAAGTCGACTTTGACTCAATGGTCGGACACCCTCAGTACGAAAAATGGTTCAAGGCCAATCTGCGATGCAGCCAAGCTACGTTCGGTCGGCTCGTCGAATGGCTACGACACGAACTACCTGAACGCTACCGTCGGCTTTCCTATCACTCGTTCAAAAAGAAGGTGGCTGTTGTGTTGTACTTTCTCGGCTCCGACGGAGGTTACCGTGAAACGGCCGCTGCATTTGGAATGTCCAAGTCGTGGTGCATCAATGTTGTCAGCGTGTTGGTGGGAGTCCTGTCGTCTAGCGCAGAAAACGTGGATCAGTCTACCAAGAAACTCCGCGGAGTGGAACGACGTTGAGCAGGTATTTTTTGTCAAACAAAAAGTACCTGGTGTGGTTGGCGCTGTTGACGGCACCCTCGTCGAAATACAACGCCCCAAGGACTACGACGGGCTTTACAATCGCAACGGCCGACCCATCCCTCAACATCCAGGCAGTGGTTGACACCAAGACGCGTTTTATGTCGGACGACATTCGCCCAGGTTCGTACACTGACAAAAAAATCTGGAAAACATCATCGTTCGGCCATTCCATTAGTTGGAAAATACCCAAGGGTTGTTTTCTCCTTGGCGACGCCGGTTACACCTTGCTGTCATGGCTTATCACACCATTCATGGCTCACGCACGGCTAAATTTCAAAAGAATTTTAATTACAAACATTCCAGCACTCGAATGTCGGTTGAATGTGCATTTGGACGACTCAAGGAAAGATTTTGAATTTTGAAGACGGTGATGAACGAAAAGTCGCTCAATCAAACCACAACCGTTGTGACTGCGTGCTTTGTGCTCCATAACATGTTCTTGTATTTCAACGATGGTTTGTTTGCCATTCCAAATCGCCGTCGCGACGGCAACGATCAAGTTCAGCCGTTGGATCAGTCGGAGTCGGAAACAAACCCATTCCTCCGCAAGACAGCTTTGACGAAGCGCACTGCCATTGCACGAATTTTATATTAAGTGTAATAATTGAGTGACAAATATTTACGATTTTGCGTAATATACCTTAATCTTTTTTTTGCGCTGCTAAATGCGCTAAGTGCTGCGTCATGGTATCGGACTGGGCCTTAATTGCAGTAAAAACATCGTCCAGTGTAGCACCAGGCGCGGCTTGGGCTTGAACATCAGACAGCGATGACCCCAAAAACATCAATCTCTCCTTGATGGAATTAAATCCAGCTTCCAATGACGCTGCTGAGTCTTTGGGCTTCTTTTCCACATTGTTTTTCTTTTGCTTCTTTGTGGCTCTTCAGTTTTTATTTCAACGTCATCCTCCTCGTCTACATTTATATAATAGCTCATTGATATATAGTAGTACGTAATATATATACTATTTATACCATCCAATACGACCACTTTGTCATCCTCGATACAATCATCCGTGCTCATGAGGGATTCCCTTTTGAACCCCGCCTTGGTACCCCAGTACTCCAGCATGATGTCATAGTGCATTGGAAGTTGAGGCTTGGACAAGTTACCCGTTGGACTGGGCAAACTTGTCTTTGACACGGACCATTCTGTTTTCATCTTGGCAAACTATTTGAATACAAGTCAATCAGTTTTGAAATGACTGTACGAGAAATGCACGCACCTTGTCTTGCACCTGCTTTGCGACGAATTCACGTTGCATTTCGATGCTGAGCTCCACCGCCAGCATCACGTACGCCACGCGCTTGCCACTGTTGTTCTTCGAGTCGAATCTGGACGCCAGAGGGGAATTGTACCGGAGCGAGAACAAGGTGGCGACGCTTCGGTCGCACCAGAGCATCCCCCTTGGCACTTGCTTCTTCGCCCGCTTTGCCGGCTTGTCTTGACGAACCTCGGAGTCTAATGTGATTCATGATATGTTGTGAGTTAAGGTGCTGTTTTATATAAGGGTATGTCGTGCTTGTACCATCGTAGTCTGCATTTCCAGCATCGACTTTCTTCGCGTCCTCGTCCATAAGGGTGCTCCCTCCAACTTGAAAAGCTTCTGACTGATGGTGTGAAACATGAACGAGCGTGAACGACTCCTCAAGCCAAGTTGAGCATGAACAACATCCGGTTACCGGATCATTCTATCCAATCAAAACTAATTTTGTCCATGTTTGCAAGGCATAGACATGGACGAAAACTTTCCCCGACCAGGGCCTAGCACGAAATCCCATAGAAAATTGTTCCAACGAGACACGAAATATAATGTCACGGACCTGCTGGTAGTACCGGGCTGGTGTAGCAAGTAATAAGCGGAGTACATGGGCCACTCGCCACACAATAAATCGGGCGACAGGTATGCGTTTGTTTGGAGTTTGGTACGTTAGGTTATACAGTATATATGTATAATTAATTACTTCCTCCATTCCACAAATCTGGAGAGATACCTTTTTCTGGATATTTAATATGCAAGTTTGTAAACTCAAATCTGATCCAAAACGTAATTTTATTCAAATTGTGATTTTCACGACGTGACCAAGCACGATGTGCTGCGGGTGATATAATTGCACTACTGTACACGTGTTTTGTTCGGCCAAGGGACCTTCGTCAAGGTAGCAAATATAACACTGAGATTAGTGAGGTTAAACACGCCACGAGGCGCCTACTGACTACCATTCACTAAAGTACTCAGTACCTCCACTAAGGTATCGGAACCTTTGACACGGCACACACACAGAGTGTGTGAGTTTGCAATGGGTCAAACTAACGCGCGACCCAATTGCTCTGCACGCTGCAGAACAAGTAGCAGTCGAACAGATACATT